GTAAAAATATAAATAAGAGAAAAGTGCGAGGAGGGGGGATTAAAAAAACACTTCAGTTGTTCTGTTTCATCAATTCTTCAATACAGAAGCAGATCTATAATATTTGGTATACAAAGAGTACAAGGGTATAACAATATTTGCATGGTTTAACACAGCACCACCCACTCCCCTGCGTCAAGACACGAAAAGGAGCATCACACAGGCAGAGGATGGTGCAAAGTGATGACATGTGTACTATCTACCCCATAGCTACTCTACGTCAAGATGAGTGCCCTCTAATGTTTTAGAAATGATAAGAAAATAGAGGGATGGAACTCACTCAAAAGCTCATGCAAACAAGCTTCAATACAGGTATCATCCTCTTAAAAATACTTATAAACAACAATGATTGTTCTCGTTGGCAAATTTACAATCCTGCTTCCACAAAGAAAAAAGGAGTAAAACAAACATCCTTAAACTTTAAATTATATTACACACCAATACACAAATATACTTGATTTGCCTTCACTCTTTCCAAGATAAAACGATGTTATTTGAAACAAACTTACAGTTTGTGAATTAATTTTGTAATTCTGGTTCTGCTTATGGAACTTGATGCTATTTTTTGTTCCAGTGCACTTACTCATTAATAAAAGTTCACCCAAAGAAGCTTAATCTCATCACACAAAACGTGTGTACAAGATTATGTGTATAGCATTATGAAGGTATTGCAAATAGAGAATCTGCTGTAACGATTGTCTTATCACTGCCTGACTAGAACAAGAACTTTCTTATGGTGACACTCTACAGTACTCTCAGTTCAGCAAGATTGCCGCCTGAGCAAATGGGAAGTGACATTTTGGTCGAAAATAGGCGGAACACTTAAAGGGTTGTCTTTGTTGATGATCATGAAACAAATCTCGAGAAATTTCACCATTTGATGAGTGCAATCTGCAACACAGCAGTTTGCATGATAAAATATGGGAAGTACCAACTAGCAGCCAAATAATAGGAAAAGAATTAAATACAAGTATTTATCATCCTCAGATAAAAACTAGAAATATTCACATATGCCATCAGTAACAAATTGTGGTACAGACTTTGACTCTGAATACTTTCATACATTTCTGCATCCTTCACAGAACTTTAAGATCTTTGTTCAAATGACAGAAAGGAGAACATCAGACTACTTGAACTGATATATAAAACTGCATTACTCTAGATTTCATTGCTTCAGAGAAAAACCATTTAAGAGTTAAAAAAACTTATTGTCCACATCAGGAATGAAACCGTGAGCAATGCAGAATTAAACTTGAACCTTGACAAAATTGAAGGTATGGAAAAGGTATGACAAAATTAAAAATCAAACCCTGTATCATGTATCCATTTTGTCACTCACTTCAGAAGTATCAAAAGAGGTATTTGCAAAATCTATCCATTCAAAACTAACAAAGAAGTAAAAATTAATCTATATAAAACATAACACAGCAAATGAACAAAATAGAAGCAAAACAAAACGATGGATCAGAATACTCAAAGGCACATGAATTAACTCCAGTCTTGCCAAAATTGCAGAGACAAAAAAACTGACGCTTCAGTATCTATTGCAAGTGAATGTGGCAATGACAAATGCTTTGAAGTGATACATACTACAAGAAATCATTACAAGCTGTAAACAAACAAAAAGTATCATCACTTGAAGATAAGCATTTGAATGTGGCACATACACAATGGCTCCATTTGTAAGAAAATTAAAATATTGCATACTGCAGACCACTACAATTAAATACTGCTCAGTAACAAATTCAAGTTGTAGGTGGGGTGACCAGAGGCGTTCTGCAGAACTAAGTACAAGGAGTTCTTTTACCCAAGAGAACATTGGAAGAAATGTGAAGTATTGTAAACATTATTTTACAAAAGTCAACTTCTGTAGTTGAGGAAAGATATCAGAGTGTGTGTAGAATTAGTAAGTCCAATTTCAGTGGGGAAACACTGACTTAGAATCTGCTTTAGTTAATAGCTGCAAATCAAAAAATACAATTAAATATTAATATCTGAGCTCAGCACTTAACAACTTTTGTTAAGGCCAGAGAAGACTATATGACTTCAAGCATTCACAACCAAATAAACAAAAGCTAGTGAGTCTTAATTAAAAATTTCATCAACAACAACAAAAAAGGTGCACTATAGGGATAAATTTGAATTCAGCTTCAGATTGAGGGATGTTGGAATCGGACTGTAAAACTTTTGATTGTAGTGATGGCAATCTAAAGCCAAAATAGTAGGAAATATCCAAGTAATATGGATTTTGAGGGAGCGAAACTAATACTGCAATACAACTGGGTTAGAGAAGTGAGAAACAGCTGCATTGGTGACTAGTCAAGACTCAACTAGTTACCTTCAACCTTCCCATTCACTAGATCACAATTTGAAGTAACTGTATTCAAGGACATAAATAATAATATAGAAGATAAGTGAGCAGAATGTGATGCAACAAAGTATGCCTGAGATAATTTCCTTCAACTTCGGTTAATTTTTTTCCTCTAAGAAGTAAAATAAAAGAGCTCACATTAAATCAAAAGATAACCTGTTCATTGCAATCATTAACTTTCTTTGGACATTGAGATCTATCAAATGAATGACAAAATGGCAAGACAGTTAGGATAACACACAACAATCATGATAATCGATGACAGAAAAACGGTTATCATAGATGGTTACATATAACACTGCCAACGCCACCTTGGTCATTCTCCATGCCTTCAAACCAAAAAATAAGATGATAAAGGATTGAGCTTTCTTAATGACTATCAAAATAAACTACTTTGTTTAGAGATCCCTCCTCACAACTACATCAGGTCACAAAATTTTGCATCAAATATGAAAACATATATTAAGGATAGGTTCTTCCCCAGTTAGATAGATTAATCCTTCAAGTGCACTGTATATCTACACCTAAACTTACAGTCAGTCTAATGTTTACACACTAATGTCAAAGTTACAATTTTGCAAGAATCAACATAGAATATGATGATCACACAGTGTGCTTAGCAAAGTATCCAGTCTAAATCCACTATTAATGAGGTGGCAACTTTGTTCAAATAATAACATTGAGCATACATCTAAAAGCTCTCCATAACAATTCTACTTCATTGCAGACCAGTTGTGTTTGAATTTCCTTACAGGATTCAAAGCAAAAGATGGGTAACACATCCACATCACACAGATAAACAAATAAATGACTAATCAATGAGTAAACCCACAATCTTCATAAGAGGATGAGGACAATAAATTACAGTAAAATAAGAATGGCAATTTTCATAGAGAAGATCTTAGATCTCTGAAATCTACATTCTACAACAGGATTCCTGAGTTTAATGGCATTCATATTGAAACTAACAAAAGCTTGAGAACCAAACTTCAAACAGCTATGCACGAATGGACCACACCAAGTGTGTTCTGGTAAATTATGGTTTTAGCAAGCTAAAAAAAAAAAAGGAAAACTATAGTTACATACATAAGCTACTAAGAACTCAATTAAAACTTCATTAGTTAAGTGAATCTCAATCATTAATCTGATATTGAGAAAACGCGACCAAAATCAAATTTAATGGATCAAGTGATACAGATCTAGGCAAAAAACTTGCATTTGTATTTTCAAAAATAGATCATCAACCACGTATAATGGCACAAAAATAAGACCTACTGAAATTCATGCGTCAGGGACTATTTACTTTGAATTGTGTGAGATTGCTGCCAGTTAAATACACTTTAAGTTCTAATCATTTAATGACTGATCCTCAAAACAGAGGGCTACTGGATTTGACATAACTCACAAAACACAGAACTTGACATAAATCTATTTTCACAATCATTTCAAGACTGAAAGCAGAGTCAAAACACATCAATCACCAGGCAGAATATTCAGTGGCTTTAAGCTGATTATGACAACAAAATAAAACTATTATAGCTTGCGCCTATTGCACTAGAGGACTTAGTCAAAGAAAGCTATCTTTGACAGACTGCTAAAAAGTACATTATTCAAATTTTCATCCATCTGTCCATGAATGAAAACTACAAAATGCTTCATACCAAATTGATATATCTCACCACTGGTCCATGCAAAAGTTGCTTTCATTACTAAAACATCCACTCATCTTTTATGTACAGTAATGCTTAATCATTGTCAAAAAAGCTAGCTCTAGAATATAATTTGATACAATAATTGTACATATAAAAGATACAAATAAAAATCACACTACTATCTTGAAAGAAGCCATTCTCTGTAGTTCTTTGCACTAAATTAATCAACTATTTTTATGTTTTGCCTCTCCAGTACATATCTATTCACACAATAATGTTTACTATCGATTATTGCCCAATTTCTGCAAAGATAGGAAAAGAGTTGATTGGTCTGTCAAAGCACACAAACATACCCAATGCACCAATGCTAAGTTTCTGTCAGCTTGTTAAGTGCTCATCAAAATCTCACAATATTTTAATAAAGGGGAGGAAGGTCACATTGATTAATGAACAAGTGCACTTTCAAGATTATAAGAGGAAAGAATCAGAAGCACACATTACCACAGTCAAATTGCTAGTTTCAGCTCACATTATGAAAATACACAGCACCTTAGTAAGAATCTCTTTTTGGATCAGTTTCTATACTTGATCTAAACAGTAAATTGTTAACTGTTGTAAACTAGAGAGAGACACAGGGAAGTACAATGATAATCACCAAAACTGGAAGCCATGCAAAAAAAAAAAATGAAAAAAAATAATAATAAATAAATTTTAAAAAATCACAAACTTCAGAAACATCAATTAATTAAAGAAACCTTGATTTTGATAAAATGTGGAAGACTGAATCTAACATCTAGCACAAAACAATTTAAATTTGTTGATTTTTCTGTAGAAGTTGGCAGATTAATTAACTACCCACAGAACACATGTTATCAAAAATTTCCTGCATAGATCCTGTATAAAAAATCAACTTCGTCAGAGAAAGATTAAAATTATTAGCTATTTTACAAATGGCAATCGTCAGTGTCTTGCTTGACTAACAAGCTTCATTAGTAGAGCTACAGGTCAACCAAACGACAAAACACACAATTCCTAATTTGAATTCTTAAAAACTACACAGTATGGCTTAAGAAAGCCGAGGAAAAGACTTCAAGCCTAAAGAGCTCCCAAAAGAAAGGTGAGCCATATGAGATCATTGTGCACAGTGGTCATTTGATGAACCTACAAGCACAACAGTTAACAATGTTGGAGCTATGCATGAGTATATCAGTGGAGGACAGTGTGCCCAATTTCAGTACAGATGAATACTGTCAAGGGAGAGGAGACTTTCCATCTGCTCGTTTCAAGGACAAGCATGTAAATAAAATATACGCTAAATTAGCATAAAGTAATTAACTTCCCAACATTTTCCTTGACCAATAAGCAATTGTTGGTAAATACATTCACTGAAAGACAGATAGACTTATCCGATGACGGTGAGCTTAATCACCATGAAATTATGATATCATTTGCTGCTGATGTTCTGCCTGAACATGCTGAGGAGCACCATGTTGAAGAGTGAGTACTAAGCCAGGAGCTGCTGCTGGAGGATTGTTCTGGCTCATTTCCGCTTTCACCCTGAAAAAAATAGGTATGTAAAAATTGTTGAACTCATGCATGAACTTTATCCTTGGTAACTGAACAGGCATACCTTCTGGCAATATGACTACGTGTGTGTTTGCGCAGGTGATCCTTGCGGTAAAATCCTTTACCACACTCAGTGCAAACATGGCGCTTTTCACCAGAATGAATAACAAAATGTAAAGTCAACTGCTCCTTCCTTTTAAAAGCCTATTGTAGAGACACAAATAATGGTAAGTACTTAAAATAACCTCAACAGAAAAACAAAACTTTGGATGCATTAAAAAAGTTATTTTTACCTTCAAGCACACAGTACACACAAAGGGTCGCTCTGGATTGTGGCTTTGTTTATGGCGAGTTAAGTGATCCTTTCGCTTAAGCCCTGCACCACAGATGTTGCATACAAATCTGCGTTCTAGAGTATGACCTAAAAGGTGCTGCTCCAGAAGTTCTTTCTCAGGGTAGGCCATATGGCATTCCGGGCAGCAATAGAGAGTAGATCCATCCAGGGCAGTTGTTAGTCTGTAAGAGACAAAAAAAAATCACAATTACAAACAAAACTTCAGAAACAAATTTAAAGATTTCATAATACAGCGAGGGAAGAACAAACCTGATTTCACCAGGTTTGGGTCTTGGTTTCTTTTCTTTAGCCTTCTTTTTCTTTTTCTTCTTCAATGCAGGGTTAATGATGACAACCTGCCCAGCTTGATCATGGTGTTGTTCATGTTGCTGAACCTGCATTTGCTGGACGGTTTGCAGTTGTTGAACTTGTTGGTCATGGCCATTGGGAGACATCACCCCATTATTAGGATGATGAGCATTCATGTTAATCACACTTGTCTGAGCACCAGATACTGCTTGGACATTGGGAGAAGTAGCTGTGGGAGCAGCACTTCCCTCAGTTTCCTTCTTAATGGATTCTGCAGAATACTTAAGAAAATGATGAAGACTAATAGGAAGAGTAGAGGCTGGAAGATGTGAAAGATAATCTGCAACCTGAAAACAAACAAAACAGTGTTACTGGTATAGTTATCTTATTAGTCACAACCTTTCACGAAAGAACAAACATAGTTAAGAGCAGAGGCTTACAGTTGAACCTGGGGTAGCTAATGATTGCCAAGATGCTGGCATAGCTGTTTGAGTCCCATGATGGTGAAGATGGTGCCCCATAACATTTCCTCCACCATTGAAAACCTCTCCTGATTCACCAGACTCATTTTGTTGTTGTTGCTGCTGCTGTTGCTGCTGCTGTTGCTGCTGCTGTTGCTGCTGCTGTTGCTGTTGCTGCTGTTGCTGCTGTTGTTGCTGCTGCTGCTGCTGTTGTTGTTGCTGCTGTTGTTGTTGCTGCTGCTGCTGCTGCTGTTGTTGTTGCTGCTGTTGTTGTTGCTGCTGCTGCTCCTGAGCTTCTTTCTCAGCTTCATCCCTTTCCTATTAAACAAAAACAGAACATTAGTACCCTAAATTGTACTTTGTAAACACACTTGTTCCTGTTTTTAAAGCAAGACTTTTCACAAGCTTATCCCCTACTTGTAAAGAAGGTGATGCAGGAGCTTGCGACTGCTGTTGAGTCTGCTGAGCATAGCTGACAGGTACGTTTACTGTGTAGTGGACATTAGTATATTTGGTAGAGTTGGCAACTTGATTCATCATAGATGTCTGTTCACATGTAAGAGAGAGAGAAGAAGAACAGCTCAGACACCACATATTGATTTTAATTAAAAATTATAGAATCAAGTAGAAGAAGCAAAGGACAGCATGTGGATGTGATTGACCACACAACAAGACGTCCATAATATGAAGTTTTAGCTTTAAAGCATCTTGGCTTAAGATAAATATATTAAGAAAATGAAAAATGCATGTGGGTAAGACGGAAGCAGTAAATATTTGTGATTGAAGCAAAAATTGAGTGATAAGCATTTGTTTCAGGTTCATTCTGAGGGAACGCATTGTAAATAATGACATGAAAAATGGTGAAAAGGAAAATTGATGATGTTATCAGTGGTGTAAGCATTACAAGAAAGTGTACCCCCCAAAATGTGCAATATTGTGTCTCTGCGTGTTCTGAGGAGCAATTGGCTTGGAAAATCTTGCAAAAAAGCAAAAAAACAAACAAAAAAAAACAAACTAATGATACCTCTAAGAACATGCTGTTTGATAAAAACAAATACATACCTGAGAGACAGATCCATTGTTGCTTTCACTTGTGGGGGCTTCAGCTCGCGGGTACTTTCCCACATTAACAGGCACACTGACAGGCGAATGATGCTGGTTAGAGAAATGAGTTGGTCCTGGACTGGAGTGATACCGTGGAGCACTGGCCAGATCATTCTGAGTTACAGTATGGGTTGGTGTTGTGTTGGTGGTGCTAGTTGTACCATCATGGTTGAACTTAGCTGGAAACTGATGTACTGGCAATGACCCAGGAAATGGGCCGCCAAATGGAGAGAAATTCATGATGGTTGAAAATTCTGTTAAAGTCAACCACACCTAAATTCTTCATGTGAACCTGAAAAGATAGAATTTAATAACATTAGAAAGCTTAGAAACAAATTAACAGTAATTGACAGATTATTTTTTTTCTTAAATTAATAAAATTACACAATCCACTGTACCCAGACTAATAAAGAGCAGAAACAAAGCATATATGTGACTTTAAATATACACGAAAAACCATGGAAAAATATTAACCGAGAAACGAAAAATGAACAGCAAATTTGGGAGGTTATGAACAGTAACAAACACAGCAATCATCATATGCCCTTGTCGGTCAGAGGATCTAAAGTAAACAAAGTGTCCTAGCAGTACATGTTCGAAAATTATGCCACCTACAAAAACTTAACATTTAAGTTTCTTCTAGAAAGACGCCGACCCAACTTGGGAAATAAAAAAAAAGCAGGCGGCCCCAACCTGATCACAACAACGGCGTTTTCGCAGTAACGTTCTATGGGGGCTCCATGAACGCTTAGGATAGGAGCGGGCAATCCCAGTTCAACAGCACCCGGCGCACATCTATGAACGCAAATATATTTACTTCGTAGGGACTCGATCAAATACACAATACACAAAATATGTAGTCAAAGCGTCATGGAGGGACGACTCGTACCGTCCGATTACGGCCTGCGGTGTCACCGAGAGATGCCCCATAAAATTTGTTTACTTCGCCATTTTTGCTATCGAGCGGAGTGCTACGTTTACTTCAAAATCATTGTACTTACCACATTGCCAGTTTGATGATCCTCCAAGAAACAACCAAATCTCACATATTATTGTTTACTTCGTAAATTTACTATTTTGAGGGCGCAAAGCGTCTTTTTTTGACAGAAAATGAAAGCCGAAAACACCTGCTGTGGTGCAAGGCGATGCGCTCTTGTCCACGAGCTGCTGCTCTCTGGCGAGTGAAAACTGAACCAACGCGCCGGTTAATGAGGATGTGAATAGAGGGAAGTCAGTCAGGTCGGAGGACGGCGACAATAAACAGGATTTAGAATAACAGCGTCAGTTGTGAAAAAAAAATGAAGGAAAAGGAGAGTGTTACCTTCATAAATAAGTTTTATTTTTCTTGCATACAGTAAGTACGTACAGATTGTTATTCATGTTAATTCATGTCTCAAAACATTTCCAAGTTGTAATTTGGCGCGCCTCTGACACATTAAATAATTATTGTTTTCTTAAAACAGACTAAAACTTTCATAATGACCAGTGTAGAGCAGGACTCTACCCAAAATCATACAAAAATATTACAATTAGGTCGAGCAATCAGAAAACAATACTCAATGTTACTCAAAAAGTCTCGACAATAAACATGGGCTCCAAATCAGCAGATAAATAAGTAGCTCACAGATAGACATAAGTATGCCGCTGTAGGGTGTTTATTAATTCCAGAGGTACATATATGTTACGTCACATATATAGGCTTCACAGATTTGGTTTAAATTGCTAATAAAACGCAAGTAAATACGGTATTTAAAACATGAGATTTCCACATTGGAGGGATCATTCTGTAATGGACAATGGTAAAACCAACTAATTAAATGTCTTTAAAAAATTCTGAGGAACATAAAAATTCACTTAAATGCAGCAAAAGGACGGACAAATAAGGATCCTCATTGTAAACCAACAAACATCTAATGCCCAATAAATAATGGGAAAAAGGGCCTTTTCCTAGATAAATGAACTACAAGTGAGCTATTATCTCATGTACTCCATGCTATAATTCTAAAATAAATTATTTTAAGACATTTCTATAGTATCAAGATAAAAAATACAACATATCATGGATAATGCCTCTTTAAAAACGATTCACACTAGGGTCAGTAGGACACTGATTGGCCCACCTACAATGATTGTCCCTGAGTATTGATTTTCTGCCACTGTAGTGAAGCAATCACCGTCACACTAACACTAGTTCCATTAAATTTTATCGTGCAATCAAAATTCTTAAACAATATTTCTTGACTCTTTTCCTTGGCTAAACACAAGATAACATTTTGGAGGCAATGGATAAGATTTGCACCTGCCGTCCAATGACAACATGCAGACAAGAGCAACCCTGTGATGTGTATCCTTCTCACACAAAAATCTCATCAGTCAAAAGTGAACCAGAAAATTATCTTTGGTCTCACGAGATACCACATGTACCCATTACAATCCAACAGAATAAGTACAATTCAGTTCTTTGGTGGTCTTATGGATCACAAAGTTTTTAGGAGGTACTGGAAGCTCACAGCTTAACTTAATTTCATTTCAGAAACAAGAATTTCAAATAAAATACTGTCCTTTAGCAAGCTTTTCGGTATCCTTACAATAAAATTTCAGAAAATCCATAGCATCAACAGATCATGCAAAACTTGCGTCACATAGTATGCTTCAAATTTTGAGATTCAATATTGTCCAAATTAGTTGATTAATAATACATATGAGCTAATGAGTGAGTAAATTAACAATTATAAAGTGGCTGTAATATTAAAAGACTTACAAATACTGAATAAATCACACACTGATATTTAAAACTGCTGAACATCAGCTTTAGAGGGTGTTATTATAAGAGAGAACTGACTAGATTATGTTATTAAAATAAATACAGTAAAATATCTATTTCAAGTTAAAATATAAGAGTATGCTTGAGTATGCTATTTATTTGATGAACACATAATTAATTACTCACTATAAAAATTACATTCCAAAAGTCTGAGATAACAAACAAGCTCATGCATAATATATGAATAGGACATCGCTTATTTCCTCTGATTTCATAAATTCATGTACAAGGTGAATTTATACAAATTATGATCCAATCTTAAACCAGTCTTTTGATGACAGTGAGAATATGGAATGTTAATTTAAGTACATGAAATACCACTTTTAATCAAACTACAGTGCTGCTTACAGTCCACCGAGCCCACAGTGGCTGCAAAGAGACTGCCTGTCTATAAACTTAGTGGCTAGGGATGGGTAAGGTATTCAAAACGTCAGATCTTGATGTAGTATAAAAAGTTAACCCAGTTAAATGGAAATATATTTCCTGGGTAATATACACTTGTTAAAAATTTGAGATAGGATCCAGACAAAATTTGACTAACTGACTGCACAAAATAGTCTAGAACCAAAAAAATATAACTTAGTAATATGGATGGATCATACTACTATGAATTACGATAAATTCACAGCACAAACTAGATTTACTGGTAGTAGTATTATGAACCTATACCTGCAAAGAAATTGCTCTAAACTGAACTCAATTTTTTTACTACGCCTGCTTGTTATCATTGATCAGGTGTCAATAATAATAATATTCTATGAATGTGATGAACGGTCACGCTCTTCAGATTTTCTCTTACTCATTTGAAGAGCATGATTAATTTTTACAGAAAATGCACTTTCGTTATCATAATCCTTGAAGTCACTTTGGGCTTTAGTGAGCATTTCCTTGCCCTCTTCTGAACCCTAAAGATGAACAAATAAATCATGTCAATCAAAAACATTGTACATTGTTACTTTGCGCATGATATACAAAATATGTACTCACATTAGGGGTGTCTAGAAGAAGTACTCCTAGTTCATACAAGGCAAATACAGTGACATGCTTGTCATGAGAGTCTGAAACAACTCCATCAGAACAGCTGTAATTTCTGGCACTCAGGCATTGTCGATAGCAGCTGATGGCGTTATCCCTATCATCATTTAGGCTCCATACAGACCCTGCTATAAGAAATCTTAGGCCCGCCATGGGTTCTGCAGCATAGTTACAGCTAAGACAAACTGCAATCATAGATTTTAAACATTTAGTTAGCAACAGTTGGTAAACAGCTGGTAGACTCTTCCATTGACACAATAGCATACCATCCAGTATTGCATCCAGATGTTCATCACTACAAGATGGCAAGAAGTTATACATGTACAAAAATTCCAGAACCATGAGTTGGAAGAAGGTAGTGCCAATTAAACAAAAGTCACCACTATTGACATCAGATGGGAACTTTTTAATTGCTTTGGATATTAGGGATACTCTTCGCCAAATTAAAATCTCTAGACCTGTATCATCTGATTTGGGTTCCGAGATGGATGAATTTAAATCCTCTATGATATTAACTGCATCTTCTAATCTTCCTGCAGAACCTGCAGTTACTGAAAAAATAGTTTTAGAAATTAGTGACATTGACCATGTTACAAAAATGAAAGGGGGGTAAAATCTTACTTGATGTCAGATTATAGAGTAACAAACTTACTTGCTACCATATAAGCATAAAGGTTATTTGACCAACGACTCTGGTGCATCAGGGTGTAGAAACATGAATGTGCCTTCTCATAATCTAATTGAATCAGGTGGCACATTCCTACTTCATGCAAACAAAGGAGTTGTACTTCTCTTTGAGGATTTCCTTTAACAGCATGTTCATAGCATCTAAGTGCCTCAGATGTATTGCACTGTCAACAAGTAAGATAAGAAGTATGGTAAAATGAAAGGGAAGAACCTACACCTACCATACGTATGATATGATACATATGCTGGAAGTAAATACCTTGATTCTGTTCAATCGGCCCTCAAAATACAAAAAGAGGGCAGACTCACGATATTCAGTAGAATCAGTTAACAGATCTTCAGCAACCTCAAGCTGCTTCTTTACCTTTTCCCCATTTCCAGAAGATGCAAAGAATGGGCAAAGAATGGTGTGGTACCACAGCAATGCCAGCCTATGGTGAACAGATATACAAAAGAAAGTTAATTAACAAAGAATAAAGAACAGAGAGAAATTGAATATAACGGTTATTACTGCTTACGTGGCAAGAGGAGCTCGAAAATCATTACTCTGCCTTGTAAAGTTTAATGCACTTAATGCTGCATTACGATCACCCTCAAAGCCCAAAAAGTGAATAAACCTTAGAAGAGGTGGAGGAACATATGATACACATAGTTGAAATATTCCATAACCGAAGCTGACACCTGCCATTAGCCGTGCAACAACACTAGGAGGTATGTTGTCCCTAGGAAATGTTAAAATAAAATATTAACTAGAAATTTTTTTTTGTAGTACCAAACTCGATGAATTTTATTGCCTTGTACATACTCAGGTTGTGCAGAAGAAAATGCAGACGAAAGTAGTGAAAAGGGCGTGCGAAGACTACTACTGAGGAATCCTCGAATACCATTACTTGTGGATGGGGTGCTGGCAGCTGAAGGGACTGACCAATCAGTAGGGCTCTGAAGATCAGCAAGCGTGTTGTCTCGAGGTAAAATTTGCCACAATGGGAATTCAGAGCCTAATACAAAGATTAATTAGTAGTCACAGAAAAGACCACAGCCGCCCAGAAAATTTTCAAATTCAAAATCTTACCAGGTACATTTTGATTCATTCCAAAAGTTCTTTTATACAGGTTGAGAATTTGAGAATAAGTATGCTGATAAATTTTCCATGCTTTTCTAAGAGCCCAACCACCACGAACAAATGCACTTTTATCTCGTTGGATTAAAAAGGTCAGCAAAGCTGAACCTACCTGGCAGTCGGCCAATATAATTTGTTCTTCCAGTTTGTGGGCAAGTGTGACAGACTGAAAGGGGAAATAAAATGTTATTGATACTATTGAATAAAATATCTAGTGTCATGGGAAATGATTACACTTACATCTGTGCTGCTGAATACATGATTACGGACAGAGGTCAACCACCCAACATCGTGAGCGCACATCTTCTCCATTTCACGAAAAGCCTCCAGTGCATCTTGTACTCTTTCTTCTTCAAATGTCATCAAAGCATTCTAGAAAAAATAAGATAAATAATAAATTTAAAATAAAATAATTGAACTGAATATAAATTGAAATATAACAGTAGCTACCATGAACCGAGCAAAGCAGTGACTTGCAGACACATGAACGTTGTCTTTTCCCTTGGCAAAAACATTCTCAGCCTCCTCTTGTTTGTTGTTGAGGAGCAGTTTGATACCCTGACGTGCCAAGTCGAAGTCTTCTTCTTTAAAATCCATTGTTAATATTTGTGATGATTTTCTAAGGAGTCATCTTAACCTTTAAGAGAGAAGTACTGTTAATATTTATGACAAATACTCTAAACAAAAACAATGTGAAGTAACAACAAAGAAAGTCTTCTAAAATATCAGCAAGAGCAGTTACTGGGTGTAACTCAATTCAAACACACTGCATAAGTTACAAGCATCCTGATAACTTTCAGCACAACTATTACTTCCTTACAATAAATTCAAATAATTAGTTACTGAAATCGAGGCCAAGACATTGTATATCCCAGTGGTAAGACATGTGTGCTTTTCACAAACTGTCAAAAAGTTTTGAAAGGATATTATCGACCAACTTTTTTCTAGTCTGACAGCAGGTACTGGAAATGACTACGCCTCGTCGGAAATTTGTCTTAATTCATGGTAAAATAACATACCACCAAACAAATGTCAGACCCGCGTCCCCAAGAGGTTAGGCCCGATCCTGGGTTGTGTCCCAATTCTCGATCGGTTGCTGGTCGGCCGGTTCGGTCCGGTTCGGTCCCCGACCCTGACGAGCCGCGCCAGCAGCCATTCGGCTGCTACCAACACCCGCGACGGCGCGAGGGCCGCGACCGCGGGCGCCCCGCGAGATGACCGGCCGCGAGTCGCGAGGATATGCACCCCTACCTCGGGGGTGATCCGCGGGGGTGATTCGCGAGCCACCCCAAGGCGGGGGAGACTCGCGAGGGTAGCCCCGCGACCTGCAATGTCCTTGTCGCGAATGTGTAGCTGCCCTGAGCGGCTGGCGCGGCTCGTCAGGGTCGGGGACCGAACCGGACCGGACCGACCGACCAGCAACCGATCGAGAATTGGGACACAACCCTGATCCTGCTGCGCTGCACTCCCCTTCCCCTTCCTGGACGTAACTGGATGGCGGGCGCGAACGGGGTGGGGGAGCTGAGGGGAAGAGGAAGGG